TTAGGGCTGAGGGTTCAGGGTTTAAGGTTTAGGGCTGAGGGTTCAGGATTTAGGGTTGGACCGTCCACCCCCAAAAGCCAAGCCCCGATACCCAACACCGAAGACCTTGACCCGTTGTCTTCTTGGACTTACAGAAAGCCCCATCAACGGACACTGAAATGCTGACCCACAAGATCAAGAGCCACGCCCTCAAGGAACACCAGAAATTTTGGGAGGCCTCGAAACCCTGTAATAATAGGACAGTTATCGGTGTAGTAAAAGCCTCTGGCTCACGTCAAACCGTCCGACAGCTGACAAACTTTCAGTCGCCAGCAAGGCCTAAAACCCTGAAAACCCAAACCTGCAAACTCTCACAACAATAAGAATCGATGAACCCAAAAGCCTAACTCAATGCCCCAGAACAGCTACAGTACTCCTCATAGAAGAACCCGTTGTAGGAACCCCAAAAAACGCGCTTAAAGAACCCCTGAGAACTTAGAACCGCTAGCTTAACCCTGACCCAAAAAACGCTTTTACAGAAACCCTTTTAACTTAGAACCGCTGGCCCTAACCCTAAACCTCTTAAATCCCACGAGGACATTGAGGCCCCAGACCCATTATCGTGTGCACCCACGCCACCTGCGTTCAGGGCTTAGGGGTTTAGGGTTTAGGGTTTAGGGTTTCAGGGGTTCAGGGGTTCAGGGGTTCAGGGGTTCAAGGTTTTTGCGGGCCTTTGGTGTTTAGGGTTCAGGGCTTTCCGGCTCTACTTAGACAGGGCGCTGCCAGTCTCCACAATATTATAAAACATTTATATATTACATATTATATATTATATATTATATATTATATATTATATATTATATATTATATATTATATATTATATATTTCATATTATATATTATATATTATGTATTATATATAACATACAAAACATTTTATGTCTACATATATATATATATACTATCTAGTCTGTATTATTTATATTATATGCATTATAGTCTCTCTTTCGGCCTTTGGCGTCGCTAGACCAGCCCTGGCCGCAGCAGAGAGGTTTGATCCAATTCTCCTGGGCAGGCTGCTTTTGGGGGTTTAGAGTTTAGGGTTTGGGGTTTAGTCATGATTAGGGTTTAGGGTTTAGGGTTTGGGGTTTAGGGTTTAGGGTTGTTTTTTAAGTGTGATGACCCTGTCTCTCCGCCTCAGGTCACCCTTTCGGGCGGGTTTAGGGTTTAGGGTTTAGGGTCCAGGCAGTGCTGGCGCGTGAAGCCTCTCTGGTTTAGGGTTTAGGGGTTTAGGGTTTAGGGTTTAGGGTTTAGGATTTAGGGTTTAGGGTATCAGATTCAGGCTCAATGTTTAGAGGTCTTTGGAAGACGGGCCTCTGTGTGCAGGCTTCGAAAGCTCATACTTGGAGGTTCATGGGTAGTTCTAAGTAGGGTTATAAGTAGGGTAACTATGCTTATAACCCTACTTAGGGGACTTATAACCCCACTTATAGCTACCCATGAACCTATTCGGAGGGAGGAACCCAACGGCTTCACTGTAACTCCCTATGGCTTCTTCCTTCTAGGCCTTACCAGGGCTGGCACCACAAGCTTAGATACCTGCATCCTACGTTGCTTCCTGAAGCCCTATACAAACTGTATGGCATCCCCTCCATCCCCTCCGTAACCTACTACTGACGTAACTGGGCTCTTCGGGTTGCTTTGGAGCACTTGAACCCCCAAACCTAGGGGTTACGATTCAGGGTTTAGGGTTTAGCAGGGTTTAGGATGCAGGGTTTAGGGCTTAGGGTTTAAGGACCCTAAACCCTAAACTGGTTCGGGCTCTGGACTGTCCAGTGTCGCTTTAGTTACACAAACTCTTGAAGCAGTCTCTGTTGCGGGGAACTTCCAGCCCCAATCCAAAACCCGGACTAACATGACAGCAGCCCTTAAACTTAAACCCTATATGCCTTCAAACCTGACGTGCCCTCATTCCCAAAACCCTAAATCGACACATCCTCCACCGGAACACCATCCCCAAACTCGCGTCCCTCCCCCTAGAAACCCTAAACCCTAAACCCTAAACCCTAAACTCTAAACCCTAAACCCTAAACCCTTGGGCAGCCACATTTTGTAACACCAGATCGATTTTCATCTCTCCTTGGATGTCTTAGGCAGGTGCTTTGGGGCTCATACCCTTAACCCTGAACCCTAAACCCTAGGACCCTAGACCATAAACCCTAAACCCTAAAGGCTTCAGGGCTCCGAGGACCTTGGGTTTGTGTTCAGGGATTTAGGGTTCCCTACTTGGAGGCCCGGGGGTCTTAGTAAGTCGGGTAAAAGTAGAGTCATAATTGGGGTAACTCCAGTTAGGGTACTTAAAACTCTACTTATAGCCTACTTACTAAGTCCCCTGGGCCTCCAAGTAACTAGGGTCTACAGGGTCTAGAGATTTTGGGGGTTTGGGGGGCAGGGCCAGTTTAGGGTTCAAGGGTCTAGGGCAGCCTTCGGAAGCTTGTCAACGGCCGTGGAGCCGAGCTAACGAATCAAGCAGAATACAACTCTGACCAGGTTTACCTTGAGCTACCAAAACCAACTGTTTTGGAAGAGCCCGCTCACAAACTTCAAATTAGGGTTAAGAATGCAGCATTTGGTAGTGCCCCGCTTATTACGTAACTCTAATGGTACTTTCAAGCAGGGTTCAGGGAAACGCACGCTTCCTCCGATGACGGAGATGAACAGGCGAAGGAGTTCGTTCCATACTGCCACCAGTATTAAACCCACAGGACATGGTTCATGAATAACCGCCCAAACCCCTAAACCCAAAACCCAAAACCATAAACCACTAAATATCATCCCAATTAGAAAACTATGCCTCTCGGTGAGGCACTGCTCTGCACTAACTAGTGGCTGTCCTCGAAGCTACCTGTTGTTGCTGAAGGTTTGGGGCTCAGGGAAAGTTTAGGGTAGGGCTTTTTACTACCAGGATCCCCAACAGTATGTCCATAAACAAACCCAGTAAATACGCTCACCAACCAATGATAAGATAGGAGCCCGCAAAGCACTCAACTAATCAAGCCAAGTCTGAAGCGAACTACGAACATGTTTGAGAACTTGGGAGAAAGCCCATGAAACCTCTATTCAGCCCTGAAACCCCAAACCCTAAGCCACAATCCTTAAAGCCGAGATAATTAAAAGTAAGAAGAATTTGAAATTTCGGAATTCGTGGCGCGTTTTCAAAGTTTCCGTCGGTGCTATTAGTAAGGAACATACCTTACATCTTATGGTTCCTGTTCGGTCTGGAGACATATTCCCTGCTTAAAATCCTCAGCCCTAGTCTCGGGCTCAGAGTGTATACAGCGCATTGAGATTAGGGTGAAAAGGGTTTAGGGTTTAGGGTTAGTTAAACGTTTACATAAGGCATGGCCGAAACTGCGAACTCCGCAATCCTCAAACCCTGAAACCCCAAAATTCGAAGCCCGAAACCCTAAATCCTCAAGCCCTTAACCCTGTAAAGAATGCGAACAGACTCCCAAACCGCCTGAGAACAAGACCCTACATGTATCACAGAAAATTAGATATGACTGGACAGTATACCTTAACTGGCTTCTTAAACACCTACTTTTTCAGGAGCAATAGGAGAAAATGACAATCCTAAACAAGGTGGGTTTTTGGTGCTCAGGTACATTCAGTCCTTCATCAAGGGGTTCTGCAATCTCTCGGTCGGGATTCATGCCGTTTTGACTACGCCTTCCTCCTGACAGCCCGCATGCCCTGTCGTAGTTTAATCCAAAGCCTCGGCCCACGCGGGAAAGGTTTAAGGCATACTTAGGGGAAAAAGTTGAGGATTCAGGATGGAATGAAGGTTGGGTTCAGGGTTTAGGGTTTAGGGAAGGCGTAGGATCTAGGATTTTGGGATTTTGTGGATCGCTTTTCTGGGTGCCCGCACTCTGCGCAAAGATGGCCTCGCCCTGCTGCGGGCCAATGCTACTCCAGGCGCCGCCCTGCATGGGCACGAGAAGCCCGAATCCCAAAACCAATTCAGGGTTCAGGGTTGTAGGGTTGATTTAAGGTTTCGGGCTATAGAGTGTATTTAGGCTGCAGGTGTTGGGGGGGTTCAGGATTCATGATTAGGCCTAATCGGCTGACTGGGGCCGAAGTTGCTGATGACTCAAAATACACATGCAATCAATTCCTCTATGCTCGCATCGCTTTTGTATCTACTTCTTGTTATATATATATATATATATATATATGTATATATATGTGTATGTATATATATATATATGTATATATATATATATAAACAGACGAGGTAACCCAGGAGGACCAACCTCGGTCGTGCAATTGCTCCTGTGTGTCCCTGTGTTGTTGCGGATGAAAGCTGAAATCGCCGTAGATTTCTCTGAATGATGTGTTCGCTGCCGTTGCTTACAGTGCATAGGTGTCATACTACAGTGAAAACGATGTTCCAGCTTCGTAGCTCTATTTCTCGCCGTTTCGTCTGCTCTCGTGCAAGTAGATGCGGCGCAAAGATGTAAGCTTAGGCTCTTGCTTTAACAGGAGGGGCAGATGTATGAGAGCGTACACTTTAGGTGAAAACCCTATGCACCATAGAACAGTAGTACGGACCTTGCAAGACAGTGTAATTACGAGAACTATCCAGATACACAGACACGTGCATACATAGATACATATATATATATATATATATGATTATATATGCATACATACATACATACATACATACATGCATGCATACCATGGCAGCAGCTATTGGAACCCGTGCAAGATCGCTGCAGTCGAGGCCGAGACAAATGATATCTTCTTCCGAGCACTTCGCAATGTACCGCCAAGATTGAAAACTCCTGGCTTCATCCTAGAACCGCCTAAACGTCACGATAGCATCAGACAGCTTTTTCATGTTGTGGTCGGCCTGGTAACACTTGCGACTCATTTGCTCCAGGCGCACGGTCTTCGTGGCGAGATATACGAGCTCGTATTGCTAGGTTCTTCAAGGCCTGAAATCTGTTACCGATTGTGTTGCTGGACCCCAAACCTACAGCCTCAAAAACCGACCCCTGCGCTAAGTGTAACACCCCGAGCCCCGACAAAAATCATCATGAACGTTGCTTTGGTTCCCTGTACGGTTTAAGGCTCGGGTTTAGGATTTAAGGTCTAGCGCTTTCTGCGGCTTAGGGCGGTTATCGGGGCCCATCTTCTCATTAAGAGGGGCGCCCATTAGCAGCTCATAAATAAGAGGATCTTGAAAAAATCCTGGAACCCACGTATATGGACCCAACCCCCTCCCAGATCTCCAAAATAGCTCACAAGTAATTCTAATAAAACCCTCAACCCCAAAACCCTCAACCCTGAAACCCTCAACCCTAAAACCCTAAACCTTAAAACTCTGAACCCTGAAACCCTCAACCCTAAAACCCTAAACCCTCGAACCCTAAACCCCGAAACGCAAAAGCCTTTAATAGGGCCCCAAAAAAGCACATAAGCAAACATTAGGATAGGGATATCCCATCTAAATCCCCTTGTACCGAAACCCAGTAAGGTAGGGATATCCCTAGAAAATGCTTATGCCTATGTCCTTTTGGGGTTCCTACTTTAACCCTGAGAGCCACGAGGCACCTTGAAAATCCAAAACTCGGAACCTCTAAACCTCAGAGAAAGGTTCCTCCTGAGGGCTCCCTTACGGTTTAGGGTTTAGGGTTTTAGGATTTAGGGTTTAGGGTTTAGGGTTTTAGGGTTTAGGGTTTAGGGTTTTAGGGTTTAGGGTTTAGGGTTTAGGGTTTACTATAAAGGGGTATTGTGAGGACCTTAACAACTAGAAGAATGTTTTGGGGTCTGTGGCCGATGATAGGAGGTTTAGTTTAGGGTTTAGAAACCAGGGTTCAGAGTTTAGGATTTAGGATTCAGGGTTCAGGGTTTCGGGTTTAGGATTTAGGGTAGGGTTCAGCCCTAAACGTATTCTCGGTCCTACTTAGGACCTACTTCCTGTACAAGCTCGCGGCCTGTGGTTCGGAAGCGCCATGTAGTTTCCAGAAGGCCCGTGTAAACCCTAAACACTCGTAGAACCCTTTCAAGCCGTCTGTAGGGGCCTTAATGATTAGAATAGATTTTTGGGCTCCGTTATCGTATCATTATAATCAGCAGCCCTAAGGAGTAATTAGGGTTTAGGGTTTAGGGGTGGTAAATAGCCAGGCTTCTATATTACGTCCAGAAAACCCTGACTGGCAGCTCTACTGGCCCAAACCCAAACACCTCTCCAATACAAGGGCCTTAATACTTCGAAGAGGGTTTCGGGTATATTTTAGTATGACAAAACTAAGGAACCTTAAAGAATAGTATTTTCAATCAGTCTAGGCATCCATACTACGAAGATGCAACAGTGCGGGGGGATCGGGCGAGACTTCTCCTGCTCCTGTTGCGCAACAGTGTGCTTAGCGTCGTCTACGGACCCTGAAGGGCCCTTCATCGTCAGAATACGGGGTTGGAAATATTGGGATACTCTCACGAGTTACGAAGAACTCAAACCTCTGCAAGAATTCTACACCCGAGCTCCAACGATAACCTTGATGTTTGTGGTTCTCTAAACTAGGCTGCCTTTTTTTGCGTCCTTTTTACAAGGCTGCCGTACTTTATTGTGGACCTAAAAAGGGACCCTACTTTAGAGAACTTCCCATGTGGCGAGTGGAAGCCACTCCTGGTACCGTAATCACCTGCGAGGCTCTTAACCTCAGGCCCAGAAGCCTCGACGCTCAACGCTGAACCCTAAGACCCGAAGCCCTAAACCCAAAGCCATAAGACCCTAAGCTAAAGTCTAACCCCTAAATCCAATCTTAAACCCTGAAACACTAAGAACACACACACACACATCTCCGAGTCATTCTTGAGGGATCGTTGGTAGCCATACCTTTGCTTGTGAAGAAGTTGAACTGGGGATATAAATGGTACCAGGCCTAGTTGCTTCGGTTCACACACGGGCCTTAAGAATTGGAATAGGGTCTTGGGTTTCGGGATGTGTTTTCGTACATTCAAAATGTGGAACCCTACGGAATAGCACTACTACCTACTACTCAGTTTTGAAGATCTTATGTACATTTTTGACGTGTATATATGTATGTATGTATGCATGCATGTTTGTGCAT